AGCTAGTGTCCTCTGGAGAATCACTCGCTTGCTTGCTAGTGGGGAAAAATCCCCACACATTTGGTCACATAAGTCGGTCTTTTGTTTTGCTTAGTGTGCTGTGAGAGCTGAGAAAAAGCAACACACATACCTCTAACAAGAAAGCAGAGATAAAACCAAACAGAAAAAAAAAAGAAAGAAAGAAAATAGACTATGCAAATTTAAAATCTGAGAGAACTAAGAAAATACTGTAACAATAAATGAAGAACAGGCTATCTGGAAGGAAAAAAAAACATTTGGAGATCAAAAAAGAGCTCCTAGAAAGTAAAAATCAGACAGCACAAATAAAAAAAAAATCAGTATCACCTTTGTAAGATAAAAATGAAGAAACTGCATAGAAAGCAGAGCAAGGAAACAGAGACAAGAAAATGTCAAAGAAAAGATAAGAAAATTAGAGAACAAATCTAGAAAATGAACATTAATGCCTGTCCTAAAGAGAAAATTAAAAAAAAAAACAAAAAAAAACAGAAGGAAAAAAATAATTCAAAAAAGTTTCCTAGCACTTCAGGGCATTATCAGATTAAAAGACAGTTTCTAGATTAAAAGGAGGTTCACCAAGTAGCCAGCACAATGGAAGTAACTAGACCCCCATCAAAACAAATCATCAGGAAAATTACAGACAGGGAAGATGAAGAGAATGACAAAAAGAGAAAAGGTAGATCACAAACTGAGGATGAGAAACCAGAATAACTTCACACTTCTCAAGGGCAACCCTGGAAGACAGAAGGCATGAGAGATAGAGGGAAGAAGAGTGTGAGAGAGAGAGAGAGAGAGTGTGTGTGTGTGTGAGAGAGTGTGTGTGTGAGAGAGTGTGTGTGTGCGTGAGTGTGTGAGTGTGTGTGTGTGCGTGAGTGTGTGAGTGTGTGTGTGTGTGAGAGAGAGTGTGTGTGTGAGTGTGTGCGTGAGTGTGTGTGTGTGTGTGAGAGAGTGTGTGTGAGTGTGTGTGTGAGAGAGACAGAGTGTGTGTGTGTGTGTGTGCGTGTGTGTGTGTGTGTGTGCGTGTGTGTGCGTGTGCGTGTGAGTAGTAGCATGCAGATTTTAGTTTCTAAATACCATTACTTACTAAAAGGAGCCACGGTGCCTTGGAGAATGGCTGTTTCCAGGTCTGGGGCAAGAAAAGTACGAGGAGAGCCTGGTACAATAAGCAAGAAGCACTCAAAGACAAATAAGGACACAGGAACTGGCTCTAGCCAAATTTGGAGCATATTTGTGCATCAAAAAAGAATAACGACAGTAATAAATTAAGACATTTATTTTTAAAAATCAAAGTATCTATAGCAATAATCAGGAAAAAAAGAAAAAGGGGGTAAAAAGGAAAAGTGCTTCTTTACATAAAAAAGACAAAAAAATGTTATAGGAATGATCAATTTTTTTTAAGTCACTATTTAGGATTATGGCCAGAATCCTAAAACCATCAGGTGAAAGGTTGTTAGAACACAGGACTCAAAGTATCATCCCACAGATTACTTATAAATTGTGAACAAAAAATACACCTTTTTTTTAGTAGACTTTAACCTTTTTATTTATTTATTTTTTCAGTATGTGCATGTATTGAAATAACACACTATAACCCATGACTATGTATAAGTAAATGTTAAGAAAAATATACCTTTCAAAAGAAATCCAGTAATCATCCCCTTAACCAAATGATCAAATTTAGCATAATCTAGTGACAACTTGACAGTATATGCCTTCTGATGCCATACAATGCAAGGTACACAATATCACTTATGTAGTACTCTTGCCAAAATCATTTAACCTGAATCTAATCATGAGGGAACAATTAGAAAAATCCAAAATGCCCTGGTCTACAAGACAAGTGACTTGGACTCTTTCATGAAAAACAAAAGCAAGAGGACTATTCTTGATTAAAAGGGACAAAAAAATACATACTAACTAATGTTTTCAGGGAAGAAGACATAGGACATGTGGGGGATAATTGGGGAAATTTTAATATAAATATTAGATTATATTATTGAAAAAAGAAGATAATATCCCAAACTGGAAAATAGAAAGGTAATAATAAAAGTTAGTTATTTAAAGACCTACATGTATATACCAAAATAATCAGTTAAAAGAGGTAAAAGTTTTTGCCAGATGAAGAAAGAATGGTGAATGTGAAGTAGGAAAGGTGATGCCTACTTTTTGCAACAAACACATATTACTATCATTTAAATCTTTAAAATACAAGGATATATAACATTGATAGAAAAAGAGAATATATTAATAACATACACATAAAAGAAAATAAGAATGTCTTTCAGAATTTTATGGCTTGTGTATTAATAAAGAAAAATCATTCTACTAATTAGTATCAACTGATAAAACCTAATGAAATTCAGTGTGCAGTTCTATAAAACAGGACATACACAAATCTTTTGACTATAGATTTGACAATATATTTGTATGTAATGTGTTATAATTAAGCGGTTATTAATAAATCAAGAAGAAATCATGATTTCCCTATTATAAATTTCCCATTTATCCTGTTTTTTCCTTTTTATTTAAAATTGTTCATCTTTAAAATATTTTAAACATCATTACATGTAAAGCACCTATGATAATGAATAAACTAAATTATTTTTCATTTGTCATGTATTCATCTGTGTTATTAAACAGAATGTGGACTGCACTAGCCCAGGTTGTCGAAAACATAATTACCTACACTTTGTTTTCACTCCACGATATACACTTAGCCCTTGACTGTATGAAATATTAATAAGTTGGTAAGTTAACCAATATTTTGTCATTACTGTTCAGTTGTCTATTTGTCCTTTATCAATATTATCCTTTTTTTTGGTGACTGGCCAGTCCAGAGGTCCAAATCCCTTGACCTTGGTGTTATAACACCAAGCTCTAACTAACTGAGTAACCAGCCAGCCCTATTATCAATCCTTGATATCACATATAAAGGGCAAGGATTCATAAATAAATGCCTCAGATTTGCTTTATTGGATGATCCTGATGAGCACACTGCATAACAAAGATTAACATAAGATAGAAAGCAAAATTCATATGATTTGTTACAATTTACAGTAAATTTATCTGTGCTTTCAGTAATAGAAAAAAAATCTTATTTAAAACAATAGGAAAGAAAGCAACTCACCTTTTTGCACTCATCTGTTCGTTTAGCTTACTGTACATTTCTAGCACTGCATTAAAAAATATAACACTTTAGCATTCAAAATAAAAAAAATATTTTGATAAATGAAAATAAACCAGAGAAGAGTATATCACAAAATCATTAGTCTTCTCTATACTTTGTTAGGCTATTATTTTCAAATAAAATGTTATATACTTTAAGTAAATGTAAACATTTTAATTTCCATCTATATTGAACATTACATTTTATATATATTAGTATATTATATTGAACTTGGAACACTTGTATATGCTGACACCTTTAAGACATTAACCAACTAACAGTTATCCTATTCAGAAATTACTGATATTTCTTCCTTGAAGTGGAAATGGAAGTTTGGACTTTGGTTATTTGAGAGAGAAAGTTGAGTGACAGTGATATTCACTGATTTTGATTCAACATACCAAGTAAAATAACATAACTGTGCTATCTCACTGTAAACAAAAATTTACATCAAATCCACAAAGAACAACCTCAAAAGCTTACAGCAGAGAGTGAAAAGAAATAAACAGAGTAAAGCATCTTTGTTTCATTCTTTCTATCAAAGGCCCAGAAATGCAATTACTCAATAAAATTGTCATAAGTTTCAGCAAGATAACACACTGTCACCAAAAAGATGTAAATGCAACTATGTAGATTACCATTTAACCTTAGTAAAATTTCAAAGTATAAAGTGAATGAGTAATTATTATTGGCTCATGAAACCAACTCACATTTTCTGGGCCAGAGAGATAGACAACAATTTTTTCCAGATTTCTAATCATATGGGTAGTCTCAGGAATCTCCAACTTTACAAAAGATATGGAAAATGATAAAAACTGAAATGGTGGCTATGGTGAACCAGCCCTAACTCTGTGGTTCACAGGACCCTATGCATATCTCTGTCATAGCCCCTGTATCATTATATTTCTCATATTCTTCAACCAAAGTATTAGGGTGAACATATAACCTGGGACAGAGCCTACTGCCACAAGAATAAACCTTCTTTAAGTCACCTGTTTCATCTCAACAATTTATTTAAATTTCACATTCATCTAATATTATTTCCATATAAAAATAATGCTTTCCTCAAAAACAATCAAGTAAAAATAATATACAAGAAAATGCATTGTTTATGCTGTGACTTCTTATATCCTCTCATACTCCTCCTAATCCAAGGAGGAGTTAGGCAGTTGTACTGCAACTGATGACTTACTTGTCTTTGTTCACATTAGACTGTAGAATACTTCAAAAGCTGAGACTATATCATTTTCAACTTTATAGTTCCAACACCTACCATAATGCCTCATAAAAAAGTGTTTATGCGTGGATAATTAGATAGAAGGATGTACAGAAGAAAGGAGATAATTCTCAGTGGGGCTATTAGGAACACAATATTTATATGAATTCAGAGTTGCTATGTAGTTTTGAAAGCAAAAACAGTGGAAATAACAAAAACCTAACCTCTACTTCCCTTTATTTCTCTGTTTCAAATAGCCTGCAAGGGAAATAAGCTGAATTCAATTCTTCCTCACTCCATCAGAACTCAATTTTTTAGGCTTACTACCAGACAGGAACAAAGCATTCAAACTTCGAGGCAGTCTTCATAGCTATTACAAAGTATCTGATGGTGGCAACGAGGTATTATTAAACATCACCATAAGGAAGTAGCAATTCTTCCTCACTCCATCAGAACTCAATTTTTTAGGCTTACTACCAGACAGGAACAAAGCATTCAAACTTCGAGGCAGTCTTCATGGCTATTACAAAGTATCTGATGGTGGCAACGAGGTATTATTAAACATCACCATAAGGAAGTAGCTTTCTCAACCCTGAAATCTAATAGAATAAGCAAACATTTTATTTACTCAAAGTTAATGTGTAAATATCCCTAGTCCACCAGAGATTAAACTGAGCAGAATGCTATTGATTCCAAGAAAGAGCTGGCCAGTTAGCTCAATTGGTTAGAGCATGGTGCTGACACCACCAAGGGGTCCAGGGTTCGACCCCTGTATCAGCCAGCCACAAAAAGAAAAAAAAAACAGTCCACTAAAAACTAACAAGTCAGAAACAATAATAAAATTTTTCTAGCCACTAAAATCTGCTGACAGTTTTAACAATATAATTTGTATTCTAAGTTGAATTTACATTACATAAATATTATAAAAACATCTCATTCTATTCTCCTGGATATGGAGGCTTAGGTTCCTTCCTTAAAAAAAAAAGTTGAAAATATGGGACACTGAGATGAATTTAACTTATCATATTAAGAAAAAAATGACATATACCTGTTTTGCATCCAACTTAAAGTACATTAAATCAGGTAAAGAAAATACTGGTTAGTTTCTTCAGAATTTATTTGATGTCCCAGTAATATTTAAGCCTTAACAGAAAGACCAGAAACTCAGTCTTTCCAAAGTGTAGGAAGAAAAGCAAGAAGGGAGAAGACCTAGCATTTCTGATGTTTTCTTACCTTACCAGCAAAATGAGATTGTGAACAAAGCAAAACTAACCTGTTAAGTGACAAACAGAAAACAATGGAAAACTAGATGTAAAAAATTAAGCAAAGGTAAGAAAATATAATCAAAGCCACTCTCCCCATGGGAAAGTATTCTGAGGAAAAACAAAAAAAAGTGTGGGGGTTGGGGGGAGGAAAAAAGGGCAACCTTGGCAGAGAGGAAATGGAAAGGTAGGGGTTGTTGTAGGAGACTGATGTGACAGATAAACAAGGGCTTTAAAACATGAGGAAACCATGAAAATTCAGGGAATAAAGTGAACAGGAAAAATACTATACTCATAGTCTTTGTGGGAAGGCAATCATCAAATAATCTGTCATTTCCATAATAAAGAATGACTATACGCTATTATTAAATTATAATTTTACCAAGACAAACATTGTATTGCAGACAAGTTTAACTCACCTGGAAGGCACAACTGCAGTTTTTCTACTACAGTTATAATATTCCTCTGCTGAATTCTACATCGAATAATCTCTTCTGTTTGGATTATTACCTTAGAAAAGAAGAAATGTGCATATTTTTAAACAAATACTCAAATAGTATACACTTGTGAGTACACAAAACAAGGTATCATTTTCTCACCTCTTTTCCAGCATCTTGAAACCTTCGGTTGGTATCAGTAACTTGCACCTTAAAAATAATTTCACCTTAGTTAGACAAATATGCATAAAACTGCCCTGATGTAACTGTTCACCCTTGTAATCAGATCATGCTTCATGAGAAATTTAGAACAAAGAAATGCAAATTCAAATTAACTCTACAGCTTGAACTTGAACTTTTGATTGAAAAGGGCTTTTGTTAACTTCAATTACTTATGACAGTTCTTTTTAACAGATTCTGTGGCAAACTTCTCAAATTTACTCAGGATTTTTGAACTTTACTTGCTTCTCTAAGTCTGTCAAACAATTCAAATCATTGACCCAATTGACCACTGGTCCCTTTTTGATAACTTCAATGAGGTCTATGTGCCATTCATTGTCTGTAGGAAATGGTGATTGCATTTTATGGTAATTAAACATTCATACTTTGCTGAATGCAAACACTGGGTGGTTGATTAACATCAAACACGGAAATTTCAATCCACAGCAACATTTTAATGCTGCAGGTGCAGGCAAAGCTCAACCTCAAATTTTCCCACATATTAAGTGACTCATTAGGTCATCATAGTAAGGAAGCACATTCTAGTTTATTAAAAATCTCATTAATTTCTGAACAAAGATGCTCAGTGACCTCATTGATGCTGTATTTGGTCTCTTGTTATCTGAATATCCTTTATATAATGATTTTCTAATCGTAACCTTTGGTGAACGAGGGTCATTCTGTCTGCTAAGTGCTCTAAATGTAAAGGAAGACAATTAGAACAATTCTTGTAATTAAATATTTTATATTCTGACTGAACAAATCCAGGTCTCATTTAATAAATAAGGTTTTTGCTGTACAGCAGAAAATGTAGACCAAATTTCTTTAAGAAAATTATACATTACTCTTAAACTTAAAAAAAAGTTTCAATCCTATTAAATAAATTTGAGAACACATCATTTATAGTAAGCTTTTATAGGATTTTAAAGGATAGCTTTTTATCAATACTGTACAAATTGTCATTTTTAAAATTCTAGAACTCTAAATAAGGTCTCTTGTTGTACACATGTTTTGAGTTCATTTCCCTGCATGGAAAGAAATCCTGTTAAGTCAATGAATAACTTGCTTTAGAAAAAAAGAGATTACTCCTGTTATTAGCATGACAACTAACAGGGCATAAAAAGCACTACCAAATACATAAAAATTTAGTTCTTGAAAGTAGTTTTTTTTTTGGTGGCTGGACAGTATGCGAGGCCACATTCTAACCAACTGAGCTAACTAGCCAGCCCCAAAGTAGCACATTTAATAATGACTTATATATATGTATTATGAATTAATACTTGAGTAATTTAATGAGAACAAAGATAAGCAAATTTTAACATATTTCTTACCTTCAGTTTTTCTGCATCAGTCCTTACTTTAAGGAGTTCTGTAATAGCATCTACAAAACCCTGATGATGAAAATTACACATCTTTTCAATTTCCTTGTCATGATTACGGATACAGGCATCTAATTTTTCCATAAACTTCTTGTGTGCATTCGGTTGGTCATCATACACAGACCTGAAGGTATATAATAAAGCTAAAATTAACTTTCCAGTTCACCAAAATTTCACAATAGTTGAGATCTTAAAATTAAATCACTGAACAAATAATCAGGTTTCATAGAATTCCCGTTAGTGAAATAATTTGGGTGAAAAATATTTAATTTCTTTTTGAACATATTAATATTAAAAGAGCTACAAGCCCTCTAGTTATATCACTAAGTATCTGCAAATAAAGATCTGAGACTCAGGAGATGTTGGCCTAATATGTCTTTAACGTACTAATGTTCAAAAAGAATCACTGAGTAAATGAATGATTAAGGAGTGAATTAACAAACTCATGATTTCCATAGCATTAACTATGTGTCAGGCCATGTCCTAAGTACTCTACATATTAACTCTTTAATGCTCACAACAAATCTATAAAGCAGGTATTATTATTACCCTTACTTTATGGATGAGTTAAAGATTATGTAACTGCCATAATTCCACAATGAGCAAATTATTGCTGGGATATGAATCCTGGCAGTCTGGCTCCAGAGTTCATATTCTCAAATACAAGGCCACATTGCAGTTACCACAGTGTTCTCTAAACATGGCAAACACATTCCTATTGTATCTTAACTCATGTTGTCTCCACATAAAGGACACCCCCTATTGCCTATTTAACAGGCAGTAAAGGACAAACCTTGCCACCAGCTCCAGGGAGGGAAGCCTTTGGAATGCCCTGCCTGATAAGTGTCTTTGTTTAGCTGGGGACCCTGGACTGCCAAACAGTGGGTGCTAACAATGTGATTTATAGTGGGGGCCTTGGGCCACACAGTTTTATCTTTGAAGGGGCTGGAGACTAAGGTCAGTAACATGGGCAGTCGGCCATGTCTACATGGGCAGTCAGACATATCCACATGATCAAACTCCAATAAAAGTCCTGAACACTAAGGCTTGGGTGATTTCCCTGACTGGTAATACTCCGTGAGTGTTACCACACATCCTGGCTGGGAGAATTAAGTGCTGTCCACACAATTCCACTCAGAAAGGACAACTGAAAGCTTGTACCTGGAACTCTCCAAGGCCTTGTCCTACGTGTCTTTTCCATTGTTAATTTTAACCTGGATTCTTTTGCTGTAACAAACAGTAACTGTGAGTATAATAGCTTTGCTAAATTCTGTGAGTCCTTTCAGCACATTACTGAACCTGAGGGTGGTCCTGGGGGACTTCCCAAACTGTACTCCACAATCTATTGCCCATTGTTTGAGGTTTAGTTCAAGTCCCATTTCCTCCAACAGGCCTTTGCAAATCATTTCCATGCCAAGTAATCTTTTCATCTGCAGGATAGGTAAACTTATAGTCCTTTACAGTTATACTAACATATAATCATATATTACTTGTATTGTAATTTAAATATTTCATGTATATATCATATATTTTATTTCCCCAAACAGACCATAAGCTTCTTGAGGGCAGCCTCTACACCTTAGGTTTTTAATGAATACCTGCTATAACACTAGAGACCTCAATATAGGATAACAATTAAGAAATTGGGCTCCTTAAGACTTGAGCAAAAACTAGAATCTGATCTCAGACATCTTCTCTTTTCTACCTGTAGTACTCTCTCGATCTCATCTTGACTTGTAGCTTTAAATTCCATAAACACACTGACACCTCCCAAATTTATATTTTCAGTTCTGATCTCTCCTCAAACTTCAAACTCATACATCTCTCCAACTGGATGTCTAATGAGCATCTCAAATATATCCAAAAATAAATACCTGATCTTCTTCCCCCAAACCTGCTCCTCCCATAGTCTTCCTCATCTCAGTAAACTCCTTTCTTCTAGTTGCTCGGGCAAAAAACCTTGAAATCATCCCTGACTATTCTCTTTCTTTCATCCTCCACCCCAAAATCATCCAGCAAACCTAACCACATCTCACTACCTCCCCTGTTATCACCCTGGACTAAGCCATCAACATGTCTTACCTAGATTATTGCCAATTGCTTCCTGACTGGTCTCCCTGATTCCACCCTTGTTCCCCTTCAGTCTGTTCTCAACACAGTAGCCATTAGATGATGGCTAATGGAAATGATCCCATTAAAACACAAGTCAGATCCCATGTTTCTCTTCTGCTCAAAACCTTATTTCTCTTACAACAGCCCATTGGCCCTACATAATTTTGCCCCATGTTACCTCACTGACCTCACTTCCTACCACTTACTCTCCATGCCAGTGACACTGGCCTCCTCATGGTTTCTTAACCATTACAGACACATTCCTGTCCTATGTTCTACACATGCTGTTTCCTCTATGTGGACCACATTTCTCTTATATGGCTGCCTCCCTCACCTCCTTCAGGTCTTTTATCCTCTTCTTAGTAAAGCCCCTTCTGGCTACAATATCTACATCACACACACACACACACACACACACACACACACACACACAATCTCCTTCCCTGCTTTATTTTTTATTTTTTATTTTCTAAAATAAACGAGTTTATCACTGTATCATTCTTACCACTGTACAATACTCTCTATTTTATTTATTATCTATCATCTCCCACTGGAATATAAGTTGCATGAGGTCACACAGTTTTTCTCTGTTTCGTTTCCTATAGTATCCCCAGCACTAGGGCAGTGTCTATCATATGGCAGATGCTCAATAAATAATTGATGAATGGATGGATGGATGGATGGATGGATGGGAAAGACAGAATCAGAAAGGGCATTACCAGTTGTTCAGCCTCAGGTAACCCACCTGACTTCTTTAAATCTCAATTTTCTCATCCATAAAATAGGGATAAAAATAGTACTACAGCAATGAACAAGTGGAATTTGAAGTCAAAAACACAATACCATTTTCATTAGCATCCCCCCAAATGAAATAGTTACATATGAAATTAAAACCATAAAATAGGGATAAAAATAGTACTACAGCAATGAACAAGTGGAATTTGAAGTTAAAAACACAATACCATTTTCATTAGCATCCCCCCAAATGAAATAGTTACATATGAAATTAAATGGTGGCAGACATGTCCAAGGAAAATTGCAGGGATTTGATCCCTCTATGAATTTTGCGATAGATGAATGTGTGGAGATGGCAACTACTGGGCAACAGAACAATATTGGAATGGTGGTAATACAAGGAAATAGTACCATCATGTTAGAAGCCTTGGAACGAGTATAAATAATGACTGTTCAGCAGAGAAATCCATGCCCCCTTTGTAAAGGGCCTGTTTTTACTATGGTGTAAAAATCAGGTCATGTACATTTTCATATTAAACTTTATGTTAAATAAAAAATAAAAATTAAAAAAACAGTGTGGTTTTGGGGAAACAATGGGAAAATAGATAAATGGAAAAGAACAAACAGCCCAGAAATAGACCCACAGAAATATAATCAACTGAACTTTGACAAAGGAGCAAAGGTAATACAATCAAGAAAAGATAGTCTTTTTAACATATGGTACTGGAACAACTGGACATTCATATGCAAAAATATGAATCTAGCCACAGACCTTACATCCTTCACAAAAAATTGACTCAAAATGGATCACAGGCCTAAATGTAAAATGCAGAACTATAAATTTCCTAGACATAACATAGAAGAAAATCTAGATGATCATGGGGTTACCATTAACTTTTTTGATACAACACCAAAGGCACAATCCATGAAGGAAAGAATTGATAAGCTGGATATCATTAAAATCAGAAAGTTCTACTCTGTGAAAGACACAGGCAAGAAAACAAAAAGAAGAACCACAGACTGGAAGAAAATATTTTCAAAATTTGTTTTCATTTGTTTCATTATATATTTGTCCCAACCTATAGAATGTACACCACCAAGATAAAAGACTGTTACACAAAATATACAAAGAACACTTAAAAGTCAACAATAAGAAAATGAACAATCTGACTTTAAAATGGGCCAAAAACCTTAACAGACACCTCACCAAAGAAGATACACGGATGGCAGATAAGCATATGAAAAGATGCTCCATATCACATAACATCAGGAAAATGCAAATTAAAGCAATGAGATACCGCTACACACCTGTCAGGATGGCCAAAATCCAGAACAAAGGAAGCACCAAATGCTGGTGAGGACAAAGAGAAACAGGAACTCTCATTCAGTGCTGGTGGGAATGCAAAATGGTACAGCCACTTCGGAAGACAGTTTCACATTTTCTCACAAAACTACACATACTCTTACCATATGCAATCATGATCCTTAGTATTTATTCAAAGAAGCTGAAAACTATACCTACACAAAAACCTGCACATGAATTTTATAGCAGCTTTATTTGTAATTGTCAAAACTTGGAAGTAACCAAGACGGCCTTCACTAGGTGAATGGTTAATAAACTGTGGTTCATCCATACAATGCAATATTATTCAACACTAAAAGGAAAATGAGCTATCAAGCTGAAACTTGATGGAGGAAACTCAAATGCATATTACTAAGTGAAAGAAGCCGATCTAAAAAGGGTATATATTGTATGATTCCAACTATGTAACATTCTGGGAAAGGCAAAACTATGGAGATGATAAAAAGATCAGTGGTTGCCAGGGGGGAGGATGGGATGAATAGGCAGAACACAGAAGATTTTTAGCGTAGTGAAAATATCCTGTATGATACTATAATGGATACATGTCATGATATATTTATCCCAACCTATAGAAGGCACACCACCAAGAGTGAACCCTAATGTAAACTACGGACTTTGGTTGATTACGATGCATCCACACAAGTTCATCAGTTCCAACAAATGTACCACGCTGGTGGGGGAATGTTGATATTGGGGAGCTTTGCATGAGTCGGGTAGAGGGTATATGAGAAATCTCTATGCCTTCCTCTTAATTTTGCTGTGAACCTAAAACTGCTCTAAAAAAATTAAGTCTTTTGAAAAAAATGGTATCAGAGTGTTATGAGAATTAAATTAGTAAACATGAAAAATTCTTAAAAATTCTTACCACTGACACATGGTAAGTGCTTCAATACATACTGGCTGCAAGCATAGTA